ATGTTTTGATATCCTATTTTTAGACCTCTGGAATTTATCAGTAGGAAGGTAACTCTCCAGGGGTGGATTAAGAGTGATTTTTGTCTCCCCAAGGGACGTTTGGTAATATCTGGAGACGTGTTTGGTTGTCAGTACTGGGGGAAGGATGTGCTGTTGGCAGTGAGTACACAGAGGTCAACAGTGCTGAGGTTGAGACCCCCGGATATAGAGGACCACATCCAACTGTCCTTTCCATGGAAGCTACAGCATGCCAGAGGTGACACTTCATGTGGCAAGGACTCTCTGAGCAACCCCAGTGCTCACCTCTTCTCATAGGGTCTCACCTCTGGAGAGTGGGAAGAGATATGCCATTCAGGGACCATGTATTCTCACCCTCAAAGTCTAACACAGAAGAGAGTAAATGGCGCTATGGTTCTTCTTCCATGAATGCTCCTCATTAACTAGCATTTTCCTGGTGGTCCTGTCCAGTTATTATGTGAGCAAGGAGACTTTTGAAAGGAGAAATCATCTCATAAGATGTGCCTGAACACTGACAGGTGTATGCAGAATGAGGAAGGACACCCCTATTAACTTGTCCTTGAAAAAGGCATGGGGCGAGACAGGAGGGGGCAGGGTCATAGCTTTATTGTATCTGTGAATCATAACCCTTACCGGACATCAGCTTTCCCAACCATTTTACCCTCCAGGACAGCTCCTCTGGGTCTTTCCTTAACCAGACCTTGGACACTGGGCTGACTGAACCGATCTAACATGCTTTTGTGGAGGGGAGGGTAGAAAAGAAGAGATTAGGAGAGAAATACACTCAACATGAATATGTGGATTTAATGGAACAAACTTAGGATACCCGCTTCCCATGGCAGGACAGGAGCTATTGGTTACCAAGTATAGAAATATAATCTCCACTGACTGGAGACCAAAGCTCCTACAGTCATTGGGTTTTGTGATCACATGAATTTACGCCACCATCTTGAAACACTCATTTCAAACAAACTTTCAATGAGAAGTGTTTTGGAAAGCAGGAGAGTAGGAGAATGCTACAATTTCTAGGTAAATGCCGTACAGCACTTAATCCAATCTCCACGCACAGTCTCCCTGTGGTGGCATTAACAAGACATCTCCAGACTGATTGGGCAAACCTTTTGCCGTTTCTGTGGACTGCAGATTCCTCAAGAGCCTCTTGTCTGCCTTTCCCCTCTTGCTGGCACCTCCCTTCGGCCCTGTGTGCACCTTACATCTTGATCCATTCATTTGGCGGCTTCATTTGAAGTCTTTCTCGGATATCCTCAGGGCAACTTTTGGCTCCTCGGAGTTGATTTTCGCCCCTTGAGAGGCTTCTCCAAGCGATCAGCAGCATGCAGACTTCTTTTTTGCCTTTGGAACAGTGGTGGTTTTATCTACAAGATTGTTCCCCCACTTGAAGCAATCTGCCCCGCAGCTAACAGCTGTCTGCGTCCAGATCTCCCCTCTAGATGAATAAAATCCTTCCAGAGGCTAATGCTGGCTGGAAAAAGTGCTTCTGTGCATCTAAGAAGCATAACAGAGCCCTAAGCAACAACCTTTGATGTATATTTTGCGAATGGGGAAGAGAAAAAAATCAAAAACATTTTTTCTACCCAACTGTTTCTTCAGATGAAAATTTTTGTTGACTCAAGGCTTTACCCAATGTGAGGTTTGTCCTCGCTGATTAAACGAAGCCTGGATCGAGATCGTTTTTTCCCTACACTGCTCTTCAATTTCGTTCTCTGTGCTGTGTGGGCATAATACTTCATCAGCAAAGTGGGTCCAATAACTGTCTTCCAAATCTTTATCTTGTTTGGTTTGCTGAGAAACAATCTTCATCCAAGCATAAAATACTTTGTTCAAAGAGTCAACCTTCAAAAGGTGGAATTCTAAGTCTGTGAGCAGACTAAAAATGAAATGAGGGTACTTATTTTTGGAGGACATTAGTTTTGCCTCAGTACCTTGGATCCCCATCTTTCATAACATCTAAGATCAATGTACCTGAAGGTAGCAACATTTGTCATAATTGCCTGATACATTAGCATCTTTCAATACCAAATATTAACTTTGACTGTGAGATCACTAAACCATATAATGATTTTGAACAAGGAATAATAACTTGACTTTTGAGGACCAGTGAAGCTAATAGCAAACTTTGGAGACAATGACATACCCTTAGACAGAATTTAAGCTTAGAATCTAATGAAAAGTTTCTTGAGCCCTATTTATTGAAAGATGAGAACTTGGTTTCATTATTCAGTTCTGAATACTAATTTAGGCATACAGAAGCAAACCACAAGGCACAATAAGTGAGCAGTTTGTTTTTAACCATTCAGCCTCAAAGCAGGCATAAGTCTAATATTTCATGTTCCCTGTATCAGGAGGGGAAGAGCCTAAGGAATGTTACTTTCACTAAAAGCAAAAAATAAAAAATAAAAATTTCATCCTCATAGAGAAGCATTTATATCCCCAGCCTTTGCAGAGCAATGAGAGTGAGAAGATTTTTTTTTTTTTACTTTTTTTTAAGCTCTTTGAAAATCCAGACCACACTATTGATTACTAACTATTCATTGCTGAAGGCAGTACTCTGTATTCAATAAATTAAGCTTTAATTCCTGAGTCCAACAAAATAATTGACCTCAAAAAGAAGATAAATGAATGGGCTGTTCTGAGCTCATGATTAGAATCCACTTTCCAGTCTCATTATATTAGTATTTCTCAATTCAGTGATTTTTCCATTCTTTGTTAGTTTCATTCACAACCTGTAATACCTTTCACCCTGCTCCTCTATCAACGAGGCCAAGCTATTTCCATTCTTGGTTTCAAGAATGAAAGATTTTAATATGGCATTTTTATACTTTAGTATTAATATTGATCATTTACTATCATTTCCATTTTAGGACAGACTAGGTAACTAATATTTCTGAAAAATTCTGAAATGTTCTTGATTGCATAAAATCCTATATAACATAGACATAGAGCATACAGAAATATTTTGATTAATGGATCCTTTGAAAACTTTGAAAAATTTACTCTATTTGCCTCAATGCTGATTTTCCTTACTGAACCCTTGAAGATTAGGGAGGTTTAATAACATTTATCCTGATTTTACATTTGAGAAAATTTAAGATAAGAAATATTTGGTTGCTTGTACAAGATCACACAGGGTTTATAAACCATGACTTAGGAAATCCCTCACTTTTTGCTGCCACTATAGCAATAGAATTTCTATATTTAGGAAATATTTATATTTACATTTCCTAAATATAAATATTTATATTTCATAGTAAAAAGGTAAACATGTGAATAGAGTCCTCTTTACAGTTTGATGCTTTGGTTGGTTTCATTTAAAAACAACTATAAAGGGCGCCTGGGTGGCTCAGTTGGTTAAGCGACTGCCTTCGGCTCAGGTCATGATCCTGGAGTCCCGGGATCGAGTCCCGCATCGGGCTCCCTGCTCGGCGGGGAGTCCGCTTCTCCCTCTGACCCTCCCCCCTCTCATGTGCTCTCTCTCTCCTCTTATCCTCTCTCTCAAATAAATAAATAAAATCTTTTAAAAATAAATAAATAAATAAATAAATAAATAAATAAATAAATAAATAAATAAATAAATAAATAAAAACAACTATAAAATAATCCTTATCATTACAGGCACCATCTAATAATAGCAACAGTGGTTCAATGTTGCTATCTTCAGAATTGAAGTGGCTAAATCAAGGTCTTCTGATAAAGCAGAAATGAGGTGTGGCTTCCAAGGAATCTGTAGAGAGATTCATGTCTTCTTTCCTTCTGTGTCTCAGGAGCAAACCCCCCAGAGTTCCAGAAAAAAAGATATTATTTGTTTGTTTGCTTGTTTTTGTTTGTATTCCTACTGGGATTCCTTGAGGTGTCCTGGACTTGCTTTGTCCCTGCATTAGCTGAGAGGGGACATGGTATCAGAGAGCAAAGAGAATTATGAGAGGTAAAAAAGCGATCCCTCTGATGGTGGGAACTTGGATTTATAAACTCGGACACAATATCTCTTCTTAGCCTTTTCTCTACCCCAAATTACATTCTCAGAATGGGGTAACACTTGAGCTTACTCTCCTGAGGCTCATTTGTGCAAATGGATAGGTGTCCTTACATACATGAAGTATGTCTTGAAGTGTGTCCTCATATGAGGCCCAAAGAGGCTAACAGTATCCAGTGACATTAATTTCTAATTTCTTGCATCCTATAAGTGAGTGCACTAATATTCAAGTTCTGCAGCAGGATAGCAGAGTTCTTGGTGTACTCTTTTTCAGTTAGAACTTCTTAGGCAGAAGGCCCTATATTTTATTCAAATTCTATAAAATGATAGTTTATATTTATAATGATAATGCAAAGTACTTCATAACTTTCCGATTCATTATGGCAATCTAAATTATGTTCATTAGAGTTTTGGTATTAAGTGAATTTAATTGCATTATGAATCTCTTAACACTGATAACTGATTGCTATATATAGCAACTACAAAGAGTCCAAAATATTACACTAATTTAAATATCCCATTTATGAACTATTCCAAGTAACAGCAGTTTAATTGAATTTAGTGTTAGTACAGATTTGTAAATAGGCTGGAGCAAAAGTTTTTATCAGTATGCATTTGTTATTATGTTAATGACAATACTTTGCAACATATTTTGATTTGAGTTTGTATCAAATTAAGATTTCCTAAAATTTAACAATAAATGAAAGAAGAACCCAGCTACTTTGGAGGAGTAGTAAATGGTATACTCCTAATGTTAACGAATGCTCTTTCAAGTGGAAATCATGTGGTCTTGTTCTCTTTGACTCATAGAAGATCATAGATGTAGGGCAAAACTTCTGTAAAATATTATCACTGGTTCATTGATACCTTAATCACAGGATATATTTTTGTATGAAAAAGACCTTTAGAAACCATTGTTTCTAAGTTAAGTAGATGCATTGGGCATTCCAGATCTTACCAGTTTATGACCGTGTTCTTGTTTTCTTTGCAGAATTTTTCCGAGAGCTCCTGGAGAATGCAGAGAAGTCACTGAATGATATGTTTGTACGGACCTACGGAATGCTGTACATGCAGAATTCAGAAGTGTTCCAGGACCTTTTCACGGAGCTGAAAAGATATTATACCGGGGGCAATGTAAATCTGGAGGAGATGCTCAATGACTTCTGGGCTCGGCTCCTGGAACGGATGTTCCAGCTGATAAACCCACAGTATCACTTCAGCGAGGACTACCTGGAATGTGTGAGCAAATACACAGACCAGCTGAAGCCCTTTGGAGATGTACCCCGGAAACTGAAAATTCAGGTCACCCGCGCCTTCATTGCTGCCCGGACTTTTGTCCAGGGGCTAACTGTGGGCAGAGAAGTTGCAAACCGAGTTTCCAAGGTAATTGAAAATCTGCTCTCTTTCTAATTGGTTTTCCTCGTTTGCTCTGTTTTTAAACAACCGTTAAAAAAAAAAAAAAAAAATCAAGGTGAAAGTTCTCCCTTACAGCAGTCCTTGCTCTTAGAGAAATCAGATAAATGTCAAGGTTTAATTGTTTTTTTTTTTTCTTTTTCCTTACTTTGTGTGAGAGAAGACAAGATTTCAATCCATTCCATGTTTGGAACATAATGTCAATATTTATCAGCGATATAGTAGAGAAGCTTTTATCAGGAACGGTGCGGAAACAGGTGTTTTGTAACCATGACCACTTGGCACTTGTGATCAGAGTTTTCAGAACGATAAATAGTCATGAAACAGTCCATCCGGAGGTTATAATCCTCGAGGAAGTCACAAGGCGATAGTCTTCCTGAGGTCTGCAAGTAGAGACAAGGGGCTGTTCAGGACACCAGCTCCTGGCATTTCTTCTTCTTTATCACTCTTGTGAAAGTGGCCAAATTCCTTAGTAGTGGAGGAAGATCCCTTTGCTAACACCTGTAGAACTGGATTAGGGAGGAATAAGGAATACAAAGTATAGATTCTGGCGGAGAATTCCCTTTGTTATCCATTAGCTTTGTAATTCAATGTCATGTATTGCATTGGGCTTAAAAGCAAGATAAATCGCTAATCCACGTCATGCCTTTCCTTGAGGATGTCTCTAAACCTTTAATGCAAGGGGTCTTTCTCCACTGCTTGCTTTAAACATAGACTGTTTCCTGTGTATAGGATATTTGCCTCATGTTTAAATTCTTCCTTGACATTCAACTGTTCTTATGAGTTGGGCTTGCCCATTTATGAGGTCAACCCAACAAATAAACTGAAAGATGGTTTACTCTAAGAGGCAAAGTAAAAACAATAGCTAACAGGAATCTGGTATTATGTGGCCTAAAAAGGTCATATTTGTACAAAGATTAATGACAAAAACTACTTTCTTATTGCAGGGGTGTGACAAAGAGTCACATAGTTCTCATAACTATTGGTACCATCCTACCATGTTTCTTTTTTCTTCACTTTGATGTCCTCAGTATTTACATCTTGCATAAAAACTGTGTATACCCTTAAAAAATGTTTCTCCATGGCACTATTTATAAATTTCATAGCAATCCATTTTTAAATTACCTGTTCCTACCGAGTTTATGTGAGCATATGGAAAGACTATTTTCAAGAAGGCTCTAAAAAGGTAATCACATGGGACTTAATAATATAAAGGACATATGATTCTGATGTAAAAATCAATGTTTTTTTTTTAATTGAAAATCAACAATATTCTAGATACCAAAGGAACTAGAGCCCCAAAAGTGGATTGATAAGGAATGAGCCAGGTGGAATAGCAAGAGGAAATGTGGTCATCTGGGAAAATCTGTAAAATATAGAGAAGTACAAGAAATATATATGTATCCCATATATTCTTGAACAGATAGCTTTTTTGTAAAAAAAAAAAATCGGTAACTTTAGTTACAGTGGCTTCATATTGAAGTCTTCGCTTTTGTTGAAGAATGAAACACAACCAGCTTTTAAAACACAAGGTAAGAAATTCAAAGCAGGGACTGATGTATGCAACACCCTTGATTGTTTACTTGGATTCTGGCTGAGTGTGAATAATGTTTAGAAGTATATATTTTGGCCTGGGGACGTGCTGGTGCGGTAAGAGAGTGTTTTCTAGCAAAGTATTTAAAAAGCCTCAGGGGAGGCTGCTGCCGATTCTCAGAAGGTGGCATTAACAACTGCCCAGAACTGGCATCTCCCTTTTAATCATTCCCTGACTGTTCAGTGGGAGGTCCTTGTAGATCAAAATCGAATCTACTAGTCTTTCTGGCGTGGAGGTTGACATCATGCAACATCCACCAATAGAGTATGACTTTTCATTTTTTTTCCAAGCATGATGAGGAGGAACACTGAGATCATGCTTCTCCTGATCCTTGCATGATCAACATTCATTTGCTGAGCAACTGCTGTGGGTTTGTGATGTCGTTTGTGGTATGGAATCATGGAATGTTGACTGTTCTGTGCAGATATTGGCTTGTCTGGCCTGAGTTTCATGAGCCCTAATCTACACAAATCATAAATCCCATGCTGACATCTGGACCCCACCTTCTAGTAGAAAGATAAATAGATACAGATAGAGATAATGTGGTTTAAAAGAGGCTGAGAATTTTTTTTTTCTAAAATACTTTATGACTCAGGGAGTTAAGCATTTTTATCAATGAACTTTCTCACCTAATGATTACCAGATGGTCTATAGCTGACTAAACCAGAAATAGATCTACTAGGATTATTAGTGTGCTAATAATTTTCAGCACCCAAAGTATTTTTTTGTAATAAGAATAAAATATTACAGGGCTAAATATATAAAAAGGAGAAGCAAGAATGGTGTTGGAGGTATAAGCCCTTCATAAATCTGAAACCTCCCTGTGGTCCATTACTTGAGTGGTTTAGAGTTGGTGAAATGATTGCAGAAGAGGGAAGGAATTCAAGGCAGAATTCCCAACTGGAGATCAACAAACTAGGTTATCTCCTGCGTCTTGGTTTGGAGAATACTTTTTTTCTTTCAGTTTCTCTTTTCTCTTTCAGTGGCTTCTTAAATCTTGGGGAAGATGTCGTTAATAGCTTCTAATTAAGTGTTTTGACTGGAAAATGTATCTCTTTGGCAAAACACAGCCATTTGACACAAATGTTTTGACATGATATCATAGGGCATTTTCTTACCAGAAAAATGGAGGAATACTTTATAGGTATCAACGCAATTATTTTTTAAATTTATCTTTGCCACCTTATAGATAAAAGCCTTGTCTTCTTCTAGGCACTGAATGGAGCTACTTAATTTTAAGTAACTGTAACTGGAGATCTGGTTCTTAGAAGTATTAAATGATTTGGAGTATCTGTGGTCAATTAGCCAGGATTCATTTTCTCTTTGAATGACTATTTTTTTCCGAGTACCAAGTGTTGACAAAATAAGATTTGGTAACTTGTATCCTTTATTGGTGGAAGGATAAATGGACATGTTCACTTTGGATAGCAATTGGAAAATAACTCTACTGTTGAACAAGTGCATATCCTAAAGCTGCCGTTCTACCCCTGGAGTGGACCAGGGAGGCATGTACACGCATGTACAGGTAGATGTGAAAGAATGTTAACAGCAGCACTGTTTGCAATAACATGAAAAGTAAAAAGATCACAAACGTCCCATCTGTGTACATCATGAGCTCTTTACACCCTGAAATCCTATGGGGCATTGAAAATAAGTGAACTATAGCCACACTCGTGGATGAATCACAGAAACCTCCTTTTGAGAGAAAAAAAAATCACCAAAGCATACAGACAATCTATATAAAATTCAAATAATGTAAAATGAAGCAATGCAGTATTTAAGAATAAAAATATATATGAGAAAAAAATTTTAAATTGTAAACACAAACATCAGATGGTCATTACCTTTGGGGGTTAGGTTTGGAGATTTTATAAAGGAGAGATATACAGGGGTTTCTAAAGTTATTGATAACATACTGTTTCTTAAGCTCTGGGCTATGTGTGTGGTCGGGAGTGGATTTAAAACCATTTTAATGAAAAACATTCAAGTGGAGAAAGACTTTGCCATCGTTCCTCTCTGATTCTCTTCATCTGCGCAGATATGATCAAGTCCCTGAGCTGTCCTCATGAGTTTATCAGATTTACTGCTGTCTGTGACTTGTTAACCATTCACTTTCCATGCCCCATACTGTGCTGAATAATATCAGGTAAGCATGGAAGGCAAAGCTCCCAAATGAAGATAAAAGCAAATTTTGATAATGTGGTCACCTGGAGAGAAAGAATCTACACTATTCTTTAGCATTGTCCCTTTATTAAAACACCACTCTCATTCCCTTATATGTACCCGTTCGTGACTGAGAACATGGATTGCAGCTTGTCAAACACTGTGAAACACACAGACAGAGGCCTGCATAAAGAGGTGTTAACAGGTTGTCTACTTAGACCAAGCTTCAGCTGTTTATCAAAAGGCAATGTAGAAATGACTCTCGTGTCTGCACTGGCCTGTCTTGATGCCATTTAAAAAAGGAAGACATGACTTTCCTATCTTTCTGCTTTAATAAAAGTGACTTCTATGGGTAAACACTGTAAATTATGTCAATATAACTACATCAACTATGCAAGTCATTTCAATGACTCATTCCAGACAGTTTGGGTAAATAGTAGAGCTGAGATCCAGAGAACTTGCACTATTGCAGAAGACTGTCATGGATCTTTTTTTTTTTTTGTCTTTCTGTCTATGTATCTATCTGTCCACCTATTCATCCAGCCATTAACCTAAAATCCTTCTTTCTTGTGGATCATGACTTTGAAAAGAAAGTCTGGCTTTTAGTCTTTAGGAAGACCAGAATATTTTCATCAGTAGACACCTGCCATATCTACTACACAGACTGTCGTTTTTGGATGAAGAGCCTCTTAGCTGGTTCATTCACCTGAGTAAACAGCTTTGCATTAACAATGCAATGCCTAGAAAGCAGTAAACAGAGAGTCAATTTTCAATAAATGTGGTTGATGGACTATAAGGCTGAAAAAATTTATCATCAAATTTGATGAAATGAAGTCTATGAAATCCATCCATTGACAGCATTCTCTGATCACAATGGAAAACTATTCTGAAGAATTTACCATGGATGTAATTTACAAGAGAAATGGTATTCTATTTAGCTGCTTGTTTTGGGGAAAGAATTTATGATATAAAGTAAGACCACCTGTTGTAGCTATCACCTGACTCATTTGTCTTGTGCCTTTTATGGTGATCTCTTAATTGGAGTTAACTGCTTTGGAGTCATCCAGAAATGAAAAGGACCACTGAAAGGTCTTAGGTGAATGAAACCTTTTTATAGTTCTTCTGTGGCTAGTGTATTTTCTTCTGTAATCGATGATTATTCAATGTAGGTTACTTCAGTAATTTACAGTGTTAGGAAGAATAGGTAAGCCTT